AATGCTTTACGGCGACATGTTATGCATATTAGTCTTCGTATCGATGATAACCATGTCGATACGTACCAGTACAGTCTGCTGCACCGGGCATTCGCTCCCGGTCAAAACGTCCATTAGCTCCTCCTTTGCTGCGTTGAACTCCTCGAAGCCCGGCTTCCCCACAAGAGATAGCTTTTCCGCTTGAAATAATGCACTGCTGAGAACCGGCTTAGTTGCTTCCTCGCTGAAGCATGGGCGGCCCTGTTTGTATGCGACATCAAGCAGTGCCTTCTCCCTAGACACCCCAGACGCAGAAGAAGCGCGTTGGGTTCTGCATGCGGCAGCGGGAAGTAAGGGGCAGAAGGTATGGTTAGTCAGGGCAGGAAGCAGGCGGGATAGGCAGGTACCAGGCTGTGGTAAGGCAGAAGGAGGTGGCGGGCAGGGATGCGGGTGAGGGGGGGAGGGTGCATTTCTTGAGCCTGCTTCTGCACGGAGAGGGCTTGGAGAACGCTTCATTCCCAGAGGTGCTCAGCGTCCACAGCGTTGCAGGAGCTAGGGGAACAGTACCTGCTGTGATGCATGCATGCACGGGCGTGGATGGGGCAGGGGGAAGAAGGTTTGGTTAGTGAACTGCAGCACAGGGAGGTAGGAGAGGAGGACAAAAGAGGAGACGGGGACTGTCGTAGGGCATAAGGAGGTGGCGGACAGCGCATGCGGGCAACGCTTGCAACAGACAGGGAGGGTGCGGAACACGTGGAAAGGGTTTGCAAGAGGGGGCGGGAGGCTTGAACGTGCGGAGAGGGCTTGCAACACGCTTCGTTCCCAATGCATGCATGGGCGTGGATGGGGCAGGGGGAAGAAGGTTTGGTTAGTGAACCGCAGCACAGGGAGGTAGGAGAGGAGGACAGAAGAGCAGACGGGGACTGTCGTAGGGCATAAGGAGGTGGCGGACAGCCCATGCGGGCAAACCTTGCAACAGACAGGGAGGGTGCGGAACACGTGGAAAGGGTTTGCAAGAGGGGGCGGGAGGCTTGAACGTGCGGAGAGGGCTTGCAACACGCTTCGTTCCCAAAGCCCCTCACCAAAAAAAGACGGTTTTGGGGGTCGGTCGCAGTTGGTAACGTAAGCAGGGCTTGCATGCTGCGGTGTCTGGAAAGTGCATAGCCGGTAGTCGGAGGGTCGATCTCTAGGGGGCGCTGTAATACTCTCCTTCATGTGCAGCGGTTCATAATGGAACGCAGGGAAGACAAGAGTATGCGGGCTCGCAGTTGAGGTCGCAAGATGTCCATTTTAATGTCTGCAGTCCAGCGCCGACGAATATGCTGCGCCCGGAAATGAAAATGGCATTCTCTTACTTGATTGATTTCCGGACCTCACTTTATCGCCATTTCGTTTATCGGCGACTCCACGAGGCAGTAGATTTCGACCACAATTGTGTGCGCCGCACGCAGCTTCTTATGTTATCGCTAATTCGGCAGCGTTTTCTTGTAGTCAGGATCACAATTATAAAAGAAACAACGGTGATGGTCGCGGGTGGAAAAAGCGATGTCGCGAGGTTGGTAGCCTGTTGTGTAGTCAGGGATCAATATGCGAATAGAAGGAGGAAGTGCGGACGATATATTTCATAAGGAAGACCTTTTAGGAAAGGGGAAGGGGAGGGAATGCGGAGTACGTCAAATTTGAGGAGATTGCGGTGGTTGCGTTCGGTTCCTCAGATTTCTCGCATACAGTCGCTTTGTATTTGCCGGATAGAAGCATTACAGAATACACTTCACGCTGTATGTATTGCCGGTATAATATTAGCAAAAGCAACGTCTGGCGTGACGCTGTGTCGCAGGTCGCGCCGGTAGGGGCGAGGACGCACCGGGATCATCCATGTGGCATGGTGATTGGGCCAACAGGGCGCGGTCTTACAAGGATGGTGTTATTTTCCAGCACGACAGTTCCATTTACGACATTGGCATCGACTGGATAACCCCTTACAACTCCACCCAGCACAGTGTCGGCATTGTCTTCATCCGGTGCGCCGACGTCAATCCACGTGACAAGGGCAAGAGCTGGAACCAGCATGTCATCGCCATCATTCCCGGGCCGCGGATTCCCAGCACCCTTAACCCTTACATGAAGATTATAGTGGACGACCTGAAGCGCTTGGGCAGGAATGGCATGGCGGTGACGGAGCGCTGGGTGGATGATAGTGGGCAGCCCCACACCCGTTCGTTCACGCACCGTGTGTTCCTGGCCACAATCCTTGCGGACACACCCGCCCGGGTGAAGGTGTGCAACGGCAACGGCCAGAACTCTTACAGCGGTGCATGTACTTATTGCGACTTCGAGGGGACAGGCGAGGCCAACGCAGGCCGTGGTTGCACGGTCCGGTTCCGGGGCTACAAGACTGCTGTTAAGCACCAATTCGTGGCCGGGTGGGTAACCATAAAATGCCCCTTTCGTGCTGTATCAGCTTTTTACGGAAGGAGTTCTTAACACCTGAACCATTCTGCTCGTAGGCTGGCAGGGCAGTCGCTACAGGTTGGGGACCCTCGCCTCCATGCTCCACACGACGTCCTAAAAAAACGAGGCGTGGCCATGCAGAACCTCAAGAGGCGCATGCTGCTGGGAAAGCCAGGCGAAGACCTCCTCTCTCAGGAGGAGTACACGGCAGCGTCTCGTAAGACCGGCTGCAAGGGCGAGAATCCATTTGCGGCGCTCAAGTACTGCGACCTTACTTGTCTTTTCCCTGTGCCAATTGGTCACGCCCTCCTGTTCGGCGTCGTGAGTGACTTCGTAGACTACGTACTGCGACCCTTGAAGGACATCAAGCCATCGGATCCGGACAAAGACATTGTCATGTCCCGGGATGCCCGGCATCAGGTGGCCGCCCGGGGCGCGTACATCACAGTAACCTCGGATTTTGGCCGGCGCTACAAGTGCGTTCTAGCGTACAGGTGTGTGCAGACTGTCCACACTTGTTGCAACTTCCCCTCCCCTCCCTGTGAAGATACCCACCTACCACCGACCCTTATCCTTGCAGAGGGAGCTATCGGATGGAGGACTGGCTCCATTTCGTAGAGACCTTCTCTGCGTACGTCTTTAAAGGTGACGTCCTGCCTGACGTACTGCGGCCTTTGTGGTGGGACCTGTGCGACGCAGTCGTGCACTACTTCCGGCCGCGCCCAGAGGACGAGACACGTGCCGAATTCCTTGCGGCCTCCAAGGCAGCCGCGTCCAAGCTTCACAACTACGCCAGGCGGCTGGAAGAGCTGCGGGTATCAAACCGCATGTTCACAATCAACCTACACATCTGTGTCTGCCGGTAAGTGGCTAGATTTGATACACATGCTTACACCGGTCACCTGTACTGTTCCCGTTCATACAGCCATGGCGGTTCCGTGTTCTTGCAGGCTTGAGCGGCAAGAGGCCGAGCTTGGCTCGACGTCTGCAATGACCGACATGCCCGTGGAGCGTGTCATGCAGCAGATGAAGAGCCAGGGCGGCCGACGGGTCTCACAGGCCCCAGAGAAGCACTTCGCGCAATGGCTGTGTCTCATGCGCCACGCCAACTCACTTGCTGTACCAGCCGCTGACGCCAACGGTGAAGCCCCCACTGCTCGACAACAGCTTGCAGAGCTGGTGGGACGGCGTTCTAAACCACTGGACGACGCCCGCTTTGATACCATGGGCGGAGATGGCTACCTTATCGGCATTGGTGCGGCGGTGCATAAGGATGACTCCCGGGTCAAGCAGGTGGAGACTGCTGTAGGAAGCATGGTCAAGTGGTACGCGACTACTCTCCCGGACGTCGGTTCGTGGTCTGCTGGGGCAGCTCGGGGTTACGGCATAAACGCGGACCTGCTTGGCGGCGTCCTCAACGCCGAGCCAACGGGGGCCCCAAAAGCAAGACACTTTTCGCGGGCCGAGGCGCCGGATGAAGAGATGTACCACGGGTCGGAATACAACCGACAACGGCGCCGGGTCACTTGCTGGGCGGCATACAAGGCCGAGGTGACAGAAGGTACAGGCGCGGCCGAGCGTACGGTCGTACGTACGTATGTGGCCCACCTCAAGTACTTCGTACACCTACCAGGTCACGAGACAGCAAAGGAGTTGCGGTTTGCGGTTGCTGACGTGTACTCGGCCAAGGAGTTTAGCGGTGGCCTCGTCGTGGTTGACATGGATGCGGCCGCGACAGCAGGGCGTGGGAGCACTTGGGAGATGTGGCGTGACTTCGGCATTCCGCTGAGCGAGCTCAAGGGCAAATTCTGCATTGCCGCACCGCAGGGCGACCGGCAGGGCCTCATGTATTTCATGCCGTACACGCACTTCACTGACCGGTGAATGGGAGGGGTGTACTAGTCTGGCGCGGGCCATCCTAGGGCCCTCCCAGGGCAGAAGGAACATTGACTGCAGGATGCACGGATGTTTGTAACGGAGGCGTAGTGCAACCCCGGAACCGCACTTCCCATTGCAGCCACTCACTGCCCCTGAATTGCACAGGGAAGCATGCATGCATAGCAGCCACATCTAGGTAGCACAGGTCCTAAGCAGTCCCCCCTTCCCCTGGCCAGACAGCCAGCAGCGGAAGGGAAGAGAAGCGCAACCGCACTTCCCATTGCAGCCACTCACTGCCCCTGAATTGCACAGGGAAGCATGCATGCATAGCAGCCACATCTAGGTAGCACAGGTCCTAAGCAGTCCCCCCTTCCCCTGGCCAGATAGCCAGCAGCGGAAGGGGATGAACGGAAGGGAACGAAGCGGAACCATTAAAGCCACCCACGTGGGGCTGCCCCTGCCCCTTGCCAGATAGCCAGCAGCGGAAGGGAAGGGAAGCACAACCGCATGTCCCATTGCAGCCACCCACTATTCCTGTAAAGGTCCACCAGTTACACGAGATGGTCATACTTGCTTGCAGTATATCATGTATATCAATATAGTTAGCGAATCGCAATCTGGGGTTTGTAAGTTTACATGCTGTACCACACCGAGTATACTTCAAACTGCGCCCGGACTCTTCCTTTAGTCATATCCACATAGCTATTTAGACATACTATACCATTGCGATAGAAAGTCATGTTCACTGGTAAATAGGAATTTAGCTTGTGAGGTCAACAATGGCCTTGGCGACGGGCGCGGCTCCTATGGACGTCAACCTTCCGTCCTTTCCTAAGAACATTATGCTGGAAATAGTATCAAAGTCCGTGGAGGGAACGTGCCTGCATGACAGGCTCCCGCTTGCCATGTGTCCATGGACCGAGGACTCCCTGGCGGCTGCTCTTCAAAACGGTTCAGCTGATACCTTCTTCCTTTATGAAGGTAGGACATATTCCAGTTGCAACACTTGTATGCGGACTTGCAGTAAGGACTCTGTTTAACAATGTCGCTGGTCAATGTTCGCCCACAGAGGGTGGCGCGAGCCAACAGAGTGCGCGGATCGTTGCTAGCATCGCTCTGGTACTTAAGGACCATGTCCTGCGGCGCTTTTGTTGCCGCGCGGATGTCGTGGCGGCATTGGAGGAATTCAAGTGCACCATGCTAGTATGCGGCAGCTTTGCCGTTAACGAGGACGGCAGCATGGTGACTTGGACACTTTCCCACAGCAAGGCGTGCCGTGTGGCAGGAACAGAGCAGTCCGGATATGACGGGTGAGTGTGGAGGGGGTTTGGGACACTTTACGAAATTACACCGTCATAATACGGATCGACAAGCATAAAACGGGGGATTCGGCAGGATTGCAGGCCCATGTTTGTGTAGCTTGCTGGTGCGACATGTTCCTCTGACAAGACGTGTATGGGAACGATCTCCCGGCACTGGGGCTTAGCTGTTTGCAAACCCACCTGTGATGGGCCTATGTGACGTGACCGTGGCGCTGCACCTCCTTGCACAGGCTCACCCGGGTACAGGCGGACAACCTGGCGGCAAGGGCAGCGCCTTCCACCCTCACCAATGCAACGGGGGTCACAGCAGGAACGGAGGCGACCCGCTCAAAAAGTGCCACGATGACATTTGGCAAATTGGAGACGGCCGTGTCTGGGCTACTGGACCCAGCTGTGACCCAATCGCAGCGCATCCAGTATTGCAAAGCAATTGACGCTGAGTGCAGGAACGGCCAGAACTCGTTGGTGAGAGAAGGTGAGTAAGGCCGGGTTTGGGGCTCAATTGGTGGTGGCGCCACTACATGCTGCCTACTGTGTACTTCCATACATATTGCAATGCATGCTACCCCCTGCAACCATGCCCATTCTTAGTTCCTGTCGACCACCGCCTTTTACCCTATGTAACCTGATGCTGCAGTCGCACACGGGGTCTGGCCACGGGATGCTGGCAGTGGGCACCTTGTCACCCTCAGCGACATGTCAAATGCGCACGGGATTGCGTACACAGACCTGCTCGCGGGTAAGTGCGGGGCGGCAACATGTTAACGGGGCCCGGCAAGATAGTTGGCCGACAGGATTGTAAGCAGGGGGCGCTGTACAACAGCACTAGGCGGTGTAGTACAGTTTTAGTGCATTCTTTAGTACAGTGTGTAGTACATTCTTCGGGGTTGACGGGGGCATGCTGATACCACACATACCGATACCCATACCCATGCAGGCGGCGTCGTCTACAACATGCTTACGGTAGAGCCGGGTGACAACGTGCTGTATGCTGGCTTGCCCACGGAGGACGGTAACATCGCGGCCGTGGGCATGACTTTCAACTTGGAGCAGCTGCGGTTGCTGGTGGAGGGGGCGGCGAAGTACGACTACCTAAAGACGGATGCGGCAGCTCGGAAGGCAAGAGCTGCTAACCTGTACGAGCTTCCATCGCTCGAGGAGCTGTGGATGAAGGAGTGCCGCCCGTAAGCATTGCCTTTGCATCCGTGCTCTGGTTCATTGTGACTAGCACGATATCAGACAGGCTAAACCATGCTCCATTGTGATGCGCTACCTGGACAATTGTGGGATGCAGCTGAAATGAATCGCTTCATTGTTCCATCGTCCCTTTACATGCCTTGATGCTATGCATGCAACTGCTATCATAACACGCATCCGCTGCTTTCCTCAGTTACTCGTCCACCGCCAAGGCCAACGAATGTGGCAAGGGCAAGGGCGTGAACGACCCGAGGAAGGATTTGCAGGACAAGGAGGCTTACGTGGCAAATCTCAAGACGATGGCCATGCGCGGGTCCAGCCTCTACACGGGATACGCGATTGTGGGCGGGGGTGCGTCTCAAGCTGCTAGCTATACGGAGAAGCTCAGCAAGTCCTGCAAGGAGTACTTTGAGTCCAAGGGGCAGGTGAACGGGGCGTGGGCTCGGATACGGTATGTTGTACATATGGGCACAGATAAGGGTATGATTCATAATGTTAGGAAGGCGTAATGTTAGATTTGCCCGATAATTGAGCATGGGACAGTGTATGGTGACTGCTTGCTTGTTCCTTTGCGACATTCTATACCCAACACAGTGTACCGGCCAAGTTATTCTCCCGTGTCGTGTCGTTGCCACTCATGCCACAGGCGGATGAGGAGGTTGCAGCGGCAATGGAGGGCGTAAGGGGTAGGTCCACCCAATGCACCCACTTGCAGTACGTACTGGAGGCGGGGCTCTTGTACAGCAAGGACGGGCAGGGACAGTACCCTATCGACTTGCTGAACAAGTGCCCTATCAAGGGCAATGCTGGTAGGGCCGCCGCGAGGATTCGGCAGTCCATGTACTTGCAGTACGCTGGGCGCCTTGGCGCGCTGTGCAAGAAGGATGCTCCAATCGCACCGTTGGGGCTGCTACTGGCGGTGGGAGCTTCATCCTCGTACAGGGAAGCTGGGGAGCTTATCAACCAGTACCGGGCGGCTAGGAAATCTGGTGGGTCACATGCAACGGCTGCTTGGGTCTCGGGCGTAGGGTGGGCGCTTGCTTTCACTGGGGACATGCAACCACAGTGGTGTTTTCCCAGCGCAAAGAACGTGCTTTTTACGTAACACACTGGCGCCATATGCAGGCAATCCGCCCGCTCGGCCAGTGGTGGCATTGGCGCGGCGCTTCTTTGGCATCGCGCCGGAGCCTCCGTCCGTCAACACAATCCCCAACACGGCTGGTGGCGTAGGCGTTCGGATTGAGGTCGACGGAGGTGGCGGTGCTGCTGGTGGCGCCACAGGCGGTGCCGCAGGGGGTGCTGGAGGTGCTGGTGAGGGAGTGGCCGCGCCCTTGGTGAGCATATACGGGGGGGGGGAGCCGTGGGAAGGACTATTCTGGTGACCTTGATCTTACAATCACATGGCTTGTTTGAGAGTATGCTTGCTTGCGGTTAACAGTTACATGCTGCCTATAATGGGCCCTTCAGGATCAAGGTGCGGCCCAGCCTGGTGCGGCGGCCACCACAGCGCACAGCGACGAAGAGGTACGTCAATGTGAAGCCTTCGTGGGTAGACATTTGGCTAAGGACTGCATGGCTCACACAGCTCGCATCTTCTGAGCATTTGAAACGGGTATTGGGTGCAATGTGCTGAACCGCCCCTTTCTTATCCCATGTTGTCCCGCAGGAGGAGCCGGATCTGGCGCTGATTAACTTGGATGTCTTTGGTGTCGAGCCGCCAGTGCAGCAGCGTGCGCCACGGGGTCGGCAGCGGGCGTCTGGTCTGGATGACGACCTCGGAGCCCGTGGTGGCAGGAAGAAGCAGCGGACCGGGGCTGCTAAGGTGGCGAAGAGCGGTCGTGGTGGTGGTAGCGGGAGGGGAGAAGTTGGCGGTGGAAGAGGGCGTGGGCGGGGCGGCAGGGGCGGGGGGAGGGTGGCGGCAGTGGTTGAGTCGGAAGAAGAGGAGGATGGGGGTGACGAGGAAATGGAGGACGACGAGGAGGCAAGCGGGGAGTCTACTGGGGAGGGGCAGGAGGATGACGTGAGTGTCCGGGATACATCGGATGACAGCAGCAGCAGCAGCGGCGGTGGAAGCAGTGGCAGCAGCGGCGAACGGGCGGGCGGAAACCGGCAGCAGGACCGTAGGCAGCAGGAACTAGAGCAGCAGCAGCAGCGGGGTAAGAAGCAGCAGGCAGCAGTTGGGGCGGCAAAGGTGCCCAAGGCAGGAACTGGGTCGAGTGGCCAGTCTCGGCGTGTGCGGGCTAACCGCTAGATAGAGGCAGACTGGGAGTAGGTTGTTTGCAATGGGCATAGAGTAGCTGTGAGTGGAAACATGGTTCGTAGATAGGTGATCCAAAGTTGGGTTGGGTTGGCTTCACGTGGTGTACCTTTTGTATTGGTTTGGCCGTGATTGCTTGGATGATTTATTATTATAAGCTTGGATGACTTGATAGCACAAACCTGATACCCATGACCATACTTCTTATCTACCTGCAATTTTTGACGTGCATGATCCTATTTCGTTGCAGGGGCGTTGGAGTAGGTTAGTTCAGGGACTGTAGGCAAGATGTTTGATATAGATAGGCAATGGAGTAGATATTGGACTATGGTAAGCTAGCTTATGGATTGCATTGGGGGCGTGGGGCTTCCAGGGGCGTGGTCCCTTCGTATAATGGTGGTGAGCATTCGTAAAAAGGAGGAAGGGACTAGGCTCATATGCAGCTTCTGACCATGTAACGAAATGGTGGAGTTCAAAATCATATGACGCATCTCCTACGATTGTCTAACAAGCTGCGTATCCTTACTGACAGGGCTCCGTATTCCCTCGTGGGCTATCCGTAAAATTTCGTATTCCATCCGTATAATAGTGCCGTATTCTTGCAGTCCCCATCCGTAAAATGAGAGTTGCTTCCGTATTCGAGGTACAGGGGGCATAGCATGCTACCGCCTGTTTGTGCTACACGTGCTCCGGACACTATGCGGAAGTGTTCACATTCACTCTAGTGCATGTAACCGTGGGACTCCTGCATTACAGGCAATTCGTAAACCTTTCCCCACCATTCGTATCCCTTTCCGTATTCTCTGTCCGCCTTTACGGAAGATACCCTTCCGTAAAATGGGGTCAAAATACGGAAAGGTAGACCCCCATTTTACGAATGGGTGGACCCTGGTTTTCCCAGAGTGATGACACATAAGGCAGATCCACGCGCAGCTCCAGGAAAGTCACACACATTAACATGCAAAACGCTTATGATTATGAAAAGGTTCTAATGTTGTATATATACAGTGATAGGCAGCTGGGCCTCTTTCTGGCTCTCAGCGCACTGCAAGGTTAACTGCCATTGAGTGGACTTCACTTTTGAGGCGGTGTCCCTCTGCCTGGACGTGGCCTCTATCATCACAATCGCCCATCCTGGCGGGTAGAGGTTTCTATGGCTGTATGTGCGTGTGTTCACGTTTCTGTACGGGTGTTGTGGTGCAACAAACTGTCTTCATTGCCAACCACTAGTTCAACTTACAACAATGGGGTGTTGATCAGGGATGCGGGCTTTGCTGTGGAGGTTTGTGTTACAGCAACCGATTTGCATTGGCTGTATGTATTGCAACGGACAATTATTTGCATTGGCTGCATTGCAACGGACGATTGGCAATGGTTGTTTCACAATGGTTAGGTGGTCACCTGCTGGCTGGCCTACTTTGGGCGTGAGCTGCTGTAACATGGCTGGTGTTGAGGGACAAGGGGGTTTAGGGTTTTAGGGTTTTAGGGTTTTGCTCAGAGCCCCTTGTCCAGCTGAGGCCAGCCGCCATGGCGTGCATAGTGTCCTCACTCATTGCACGCATTGTTAGGTTACACCTTTTCAATCGAGTACTCAGTAACGTCTTATCATGCTTGATAACACCCACACATTAGGCTACAGAACCCAAATCGACGGCGTAACTGCCACATGGGAGTGCTTTAAGGGTCCCGCAGGTCGTTTAGGTTTCGCCTACATTACTAACATGATGAGGAGGTCAGGCTCGGCAATGTCTGCATCGTGCTCTTAAGGACTTCGGCAATTGCACCGGAACATCGCTGTTATCTTCTAGGCGAGGTACCTGTTTGCGTCAACCAAGAGAAGATAGGTTATCGCACACCGTTGTTGGCAACAGAAGCTGGTTGATGACCCATGCGTCGCTTTTTGTAAGCTCTACAACTATTCGGTCGTATACTACATATCTCAACGGAGACTGGCGACGCTAGGACAACCGGCCTAGTAACGACTGGTTCAGGTTGGCATGTTATGGCTTGTAAGCGCCGCAGAGGTAGGGGAAAGGGGCACCCTCCCCTGCCCACAGTTACTTACATACACCGTCCACGCCAAAACAAAGGGTGTCTAATGTTGAAGTCGTAGTTCTTCCTCCGGGCCCCAAGGAGGAGTTATGGAGGAGGCCTACAAAGGTTCGTTACTGGCGGCAGGGCAGGAGGGGTCCTTCAGCAGAGCTTGTCATTGCACGGTCCGTGGGTATGGCCTTTGGCTGCCATACCCTGTATGTAGACCCCCGTACATTATTCCAATTCTGCTGCCGCAATTCTGCTGCTTCAGTGTACAGCCGTGGACTTGCAGGGCCTTCCCTGGGGGATGATGGCATCGAAGTCATGACCACGGCCCGAGCTGCTAAAGAAAAACGTATGAAGGCCCAAAAGGGGGAGTTGCGGGAATCGAACCCGCGACCTCTCGCACCCGAAGCGAGAATCATACCACTAGACCAAACTCCCTTGAGCCATGCATGATATTGTAAAGTGATCACATATGTACAGCAAACGTCTGGGGCCTTATGCCTTGTGGGCACGTTTGCATGCCATCCTTCTTAGAGATGACACATAAGGCAGATCCACGCGCAGCTCCAGGAAAGTCACACACATTAACATGCAAAACGCTTATGATTATGAAAAGGTACTAATGTTGTATATATACAGTGATAGGCAGCTGGGCCTCTTTCTGGCTCTCAGCGCACTGCAAGGTTAACTGCCATTGAGTGGACTTCACTTTTGAGGCGGTGTCCCTCTGCCTGGACGTGGCCTCTATCATCACAATCGCCCATCCTGGCGGGCAGAGGTTTCTATGGCTGTATGTGCGTGTGTTCACGTTTCTGTACGGGTGTTGTGGTGCAACAAACTGTCTTCATTGCCAACCACTAGTTCAACTTACAACAATGGGGTGTTGATCAGGGATGCGGGCTTTGCTGTGGAGGTTTGTGTTACAGCAACCGATTTGCATTGGCTGTATGTATTGCAACGGACAATTATTTGCATTGGCTGCGTTGCAACGGACGATTGGCAATGGTTGTTTCACAATGGTTAGGTGGTCACCTGCTGGCTGGCCTACTTTGGGCGTGAGCTGCTGTAACATGGCTGGTGTTGAGGGACAAGGGGGTTTAGGGTTTTAGGGTTTTAGGGTTTTGCTCAGAGCCCCTTGTCCAGCTGAGGCCAGCCGCCATGGCGTGCATAGTGTCCTCACTCATTGCACGCATTGTTAGGTTACACCTTTTCAATCGAGTACTCAGTAACGTCTTATCATGCTTGATAACACCCACACATTAGGCTACAGAACCCAAATCGACGGCGTAACTGCCACATGGGAGTGCTTTAAGGGTCCCGCAGGTCGTTTAGGTTTCGCCTACATTACTAACATGATGAGGAGGTCAGGCTCGGCAATGTCTGCATCGTGCTCTTAAGGACTTCGGCAATTGCACCGGAACATCGCTGTTATCTTCTAGGCGAGGTACCTGTTTGCGTTACAGTTCATGTGCATTATGGCGTGGAAACGAATAACAAAGGCCGGCAACATCGTCTCAAAGGAGGTGGGCTCAGCGTAGCACAGTCGATGCACGCAAGCATGCTCCTGCCGACTTTCACAGGTAGCCCTTTGGCGACACGCCGCTGTTTCCAATTCATTAAATACTGTTTACGGTACCAGGACAAACCATAGAGGAGCGCTAATCAGTGTTGCCGTGGTGGTCCTTTTGAATGGCTGGCCTGTAAATCGTTTGTTGCGAGATTAAGTTTGTTTGGCTTCCAGTTATTTTTACCCAATGCACAGGAGGGGTGAGAAGAAAAAAATTTTGACAGTAAGAGCAAAAAGTCCGGCGACCCGCCCTTGACCACCCACCCACCCCCAAAGCAGCCAAAAATGGGAATTTCGTGTACGACACTGTGTAAACAGCTTTCTTATGATGTATATAGTACCCCTAACAGTCTTCATGAAGGTCGGAGGTCATTCTTGTCGTGAAACCCGCCGCAAGGACAATCCGGGCACTTCCACTTAGCGACCCGCTTCGGCCTGTCTGCATGCTTTTGCTGACATTTCCCGCATGTTTCTCATGATTGGCTTTGCTGCCCGGCGGAAAGAACTTGGAGCAGGTCGGTCAAGATTGCCCAGCTGTGCGGATATCTGCTTTTGAGACATCCTGGGTGCTTGTAGCATTGGTTTAAGCAAATATATCAACACTAGTTGCAGAAGCAGAAGCATCCTTCGACCGGGTGGTTTACCATTGCCAGGTCTGGGATGGCATCGACAACTATGCGCTTGCCTATTAAATTTATATGAAGGATAGGTGCGTAAATCAATAGAACTATGTAAGCCAAGCGTAAATATAGCAAGTTTACGTTGAAAAACGCAGTCAGAAAAAAGTTGGAAAAAAGTTGACCGGCCCCGGGACCACCCCACACCCCACACCCCAAGAGCACCCTCGAAATCGACGGGAAATAGATTAAAATGGCTATTCTTCACCTCCTCTATACTTCTAGCAGTGTTTGGGATCAGTTTACCTCATACCCCCAAAAGCTGAAAATTTTCACCCCTCCTGCAATGCAGATAACAAATACCTATTAGTTGCAAAAAATAGTTTTGTCTAGTTTGTATGTTTTGCCGTTACGGACACACGGACACACGGACGGACACACGGACGGACACACGGACAGAGGCAATCCTGGGGGGTGAAGCCCCACCGAAGCCACTTCGCGGCGGGGGCTCCGCCCAAAAAAACGAGGTTAATTGGGGTCCAAACATTACAAAGTACATGTCAGCTATGTATTGGACTGCCAGGCTGATGGCTTTGGCCCCGGGGTGCCTGCGAACTCTTAAAAATAATATAGATACAGGCATAGCTGACTTGCAACCAAGAGAAGATAGGTTATCGCACACCGTTGTTGGCAACAGAAGCTGGTTGATGACCCATGCGTCGCTTTTTGTAAGCTCTACAACTATTCGGTCGTATACTACATATCTCAACGGAGACTGGCGACGCTAGGACAACCGGCCTAGTAACGACTGGTTCAGGTTGGCATGTTATGGCTTGTAAGCGCCGCAGAGGTAGGGGAAAGGGGCACCCTCCCCTGCCCACAGTTACTTACATACACCGTCCACGCCAAAACAAAGGGTGTCTAATGTTGAAGTCGTAGTTCTTCCTCCGGGCCCCAAGGAGGAGTTATGGAGGAGGCCTACAAAGGTTCGTTACTGGCGGCAGGGCAGGAGGGGTCCTTCAGCAGAGCTTGTCATTGCACGGTCCGTGGGTATGGCCTTTGGCTGCCATACCCTGTATGTAGACCCCCGTACATTATTCCAATTCTGCTGCCGCAATTCTGCTGCTTCAGTGTACAGCCGTGGACTTGCAGGGCCTTCCCTGGGGGATGATGGCATCGAAGTCATGACCACGGCC